ATAGCTTTATAGCAGGTGTCTTTGAATGTCAATTCCATTTTGATCTTTCCTATTGACATTATTTTGGAATGACATAAGTAATATATTCTTGAAATGGATCCCCTAAGGTGTGAAGGAACCTGCTAAACTGAATCTTATCATGATTCAGGAAGCATTTAAGGGAATTTCAACTTCTATGTCCGTGAATGCAAAAGCTGAATATTTTACCAGTGAACACAATTTACAACTAATATAATTTATAATAACTATAAATACAAATATATTTCCATTCATATACACTTGCAAACATACACTTGCTTACATTTCTCATGCATAGAACTGATGACTGCCATATTTTCTTAATCTTGAAGTTAATCTTGTACTGCAGTTATATCTGATCAAATGCACATTATTATTCTATAGTTTGGGTTAAACAAATAAATTTTGCTTGGTTGGAACAATCTGGAGTGTTTCTGTATGGAGGAATGGTCTCAGATCCCTTGCCATGTATTGTCCAACCTCATCAGGCATTATGGAAGAAGATTCTGACCTGTCATCTATAGGCAGGGAATTTGCTCAAGGTATTGACTAAAAGGGTGCCAATGATTGTGCTGCACCTATATTTAACAAAACATATATATATATACTTGAATTGAAACTTGAATTGAATTTTCATATTTACATAGTTTTCAGTTTAATCAAACAATAATCCAAACATTATTAGCTAACCAAATCTAAAATGATAAACATTTTTGTTAACATTAACTTAAATAAAATAAAATTGAAAAAACGTTTAAAGTTTTTTTCCCAGCTGGTTTTCAAGGCAACATTTCTCATTTTCATTTAGTTAACTTGCATGTACTAAAATAACTAAAACTAAAAGTGAAATTAATAACAACTATATAGACATACTTTAAAAATAATAAAATAAGAATTGACAAAACAAAATTACTAAAACTTTAATTAAAATGAAAACAAAAATATAAAAATAAAACATAATTCAGAATATTGGAAAAGCAAGTACCATCATGTACACACAAAAAGAATGACTAAAAAACAGGGTTTACAACCTATTTCCTCATGTGTTAACCACAATTCTAAACAGAAGTTACACTTTATGTATATGGCCACAGTACATTAAAGATGAGATATATTGTGAATTGCCACAATAGATAATTAGGCTTAAAGGAAGTGAAACTGGGACATGCAGGAACACGTAAGAGCCTAGGGTTTCTTCTTCTTCTTAAATAGAGCTTGGGGTTCTTAAGGCGAGTTCTCAGGGACATGAATCTGAATCATCATCACACCTAAATCATCACCACACAGCCTCTAGTGGCAAGAACCTGAGACAGAATGTTTGTTGCGACCTATATATTGAAGTAATTCTGGTCCTTCCTGATCCACTCATACACCTCGCCCCAAATGATACATCAAATGCACTGAAATGAATACCATAATAATATGCCATAATATACCATAATAAATGAAATGCCAGTACTTCCTGCTGCTTATGACTGTGAATAGGAAATTTATTACATACATTTTTTGATAGATGTTTTTAAACAATGCCTATCACTAATGATAGAGAGAAAAAAAGAAAAGAAAAGAAAGAAAAGAACAGAAAAACAGTATGTCAATAGTAAAAATAAATAAATAAAAAATTACATTTGAACATATACCTGTCACGAGTACAGAACTGACTGAACAGCTCCTTCTGGTTGAAAAAAAAAAATGACAATACACAGTTACTGGCATGAGTGTCTTCCTTAAATTATTGTTCATGTTGTACTTTGCCTTTTACATAAAATGACATTACAGGTTATTTGTAGGATGTTGTAGAATTTTGTGGGTGACCTGTCACAAAACATTGGTATTCCCATTAGTGTTCCAATAACAAAATGTGTTCATTTAATAGGTGAACTTTGATAATACACTCTAAAAAAAATTGCTAAATAGCACTAAAAGTGGTTCATTGGCTCGTAATCATAGGAGAACCACTTTAAGTGATAAATAGCACCTATCCTTAAAGGTGCTATACAGCACCTTTGTGAAATGGTGCTATGTGGAACCATAAGAGGAACCCCATTCTCCTCAGACTTTAGATATGTTACTCCACTGTTAAATGTTTGCTATGAATGGGAATTTACTACAATGGCAAAAGCTGTTTTGAATCACTTTTGTGCTTTTCTGAGGTCAAAAAGTTTTGTGTGGAGGTCCTTGGAATATTTCCTTATAGGGCGCCTTGGGGACAAAAAGGTTGAGAACCATGTTATCTTCACTGTATTTTAATGTAGTTTGTTAATTCTTTCCCCAACTAAACTAAGAGACTAAGAGAGAGTTAGAGAACCTTTAAAGAGTTATACAGGGGCTTAACGGGTTCTTTGTCTGGCAGTGGTGCTATAGCACCTCACCCACCCCAAAGAACCACTGAAGAACCGATTTATTTGTGTGTATACTACCAATAATTGCATTATATAGGCCTACCATATAAAGCATAGTCATGGTTTATTAGACATTTATGATTTACTAATTTTTTCCACTTATTTCCACTCAGCTCATGCCTGAGGGTAAAAAAATGGGCTCTATTTTGAGTTTTTCTTAGGTTATCTAACACTGTAGTACACTTAGATTTAGAGACCCTTTAGTTTTTTTCACATTTTGTTCTAGTCTTACACTGAACAAAATTATAAACGCAACACTTTTGTTTTTGCCCCCATTTTTCATGAGCTGAACTCAAAGATCTAAGACTTTTTCTATGTACACAAAAGGCCTATTTCTCTCAAATATTGTTCACAAATCTGTCTAAATCTGTGTTAGTGAGCACTTTTCCTTTGCCGAGATAATCCATCCACCTCACAGGTCTGGCATATCAAGATGCTGATTAGACAGCATGATTATTGCACAGGTGTGCCTGAGGCTGGCCTCGCGTTAGTCACGCTCGTCAAGAAAGTATAACACGTCATTAATAGCGGTTCACTTCTGTGATTTGGTACGACTGCGTTCACATCAGCAGCGAACCGTACCGGAGTTCACTTGAACCGTACCCCAGACCACCCTTTTTAAGCGGACTCGACAAAAGTGTTGCGTTTATAATTTTGTTCAGTGTATATTTAATTTTTATTTATTTATTTACTTTTTAATTTAAATACATATTTTTCTTAAATGCAAACTCATCACAGATCTGGTTTTTGCTTTGTCATTATGGGGTATGAAGTGTAAATTGATGTGAAAGAATATTTAAAGCATTTTAACAAAAGGTTGCAACAAAAACATACTCGGTTACTAACTTAACCTCGGTTCCCTGAGATACGAGAACGAGTACTGCATCTGCTTAAGACGCTATGGGGAAAACTAATTTTTCTCCGAATACTGAAGCCTTTCAATAACGCAGTGTAACTGCACGGCCATTGGTTCGTGCAGTGAATTAAAAACGAACCAATGGCTCGGCAG